AGTTCATCTGAGATGGGTTGTACCTTATTTTTCTTACCTTAATTCTGTCTATTCCCTAAGTTTTTGGGAGTTCATCAGAGATGGGTTGGCCTTATTTTTCTTACCTAATTCTGTCCTCTCCCCACAGTCTACACTGAAAGGATAAGCACAATTTTCTCGTAGCCTGTCAGAATCATCGAATACCAAACCATTCCCACACAGTTTCAGAGTAGATGTGCCATTTTCACAAGCCCAGTATCGGTCACAGCTTCTACTGTGGGGGAAAAATCCAAAGGGTTCAGGGCAATTGAACACCTCGTTTGTCTTAACAATTGCTGGGGTACGATTTCTCTGACGATTAGGCCTTCGGGCAGGTTGAGCAGGAGGGGGTGCAGGTTGTATCGGCCGAGAAACTGGTGGTGGCTGGTATCGTGGTGGAGACTGTTCGGGAGCCCTAGGTGGCTGCGAGTCAACTGCTTGTCGGTTGGTCAGATTATCGTCATCATAATCGTAATATTCGTAATAATCCTTGTCCTTCGGCGAATCTGTTCTAACCTGGCCGTAAACTAGAAATGAAAACATAAAGAAAAAAAATTAATCTGTACTGGAGGAAACAAAAGGTACTGTTGCAGTTATACTTGTCATAAGACATTTGTATTAGGCCTGTTGTATTTGTAAATATTACACTATTTATTCAGCCCCTTAGGGATTTTCAAGAATTAGAAAAGTGTATTATAAAAGTATTCCAACCACACTGTATTCATCATATCCATCGCCGACGACGCATTTTGCTCAATCCAGAGCTCTTCAGGCCGAGTGGGATGCAACAAACACAGTAGTGGTCGAAACACTATTTATATAAACCATTTGTTACAAGAAATTTTATTCACATCAGAACGTATTGTTAACTCTCTCGTCATGATTTACCCAATGAACGTTTTGTTTGAAGGAAAAAAAAGACACCAGGGGTCATTACATTACAAGCAAGTAAAAATATCCACTTTATAGCAAATTGATCTCTCTCTCTCTCTCACTATTTCAAAAGCAGTACAGTGTATACGCATTTAGTTCCAAACAGAAAAATACTCTATAAGAGAGTCTTATATTAGTGCCCCCTAGTGACACATCGGTATGTCTGTGGATACCTGTGGTAGGGAGAGTACAGATAGCCGATTGTGTAGCTTTGTGCTTAATTTCAAACAAACCAAACCTATATTAGATTTAATTTAATGGTATTTCTGAGGCACGATATCTGCCGATGTAGGGATTTCAGGAAAGTTGTAGTATTCAGTATTAGAATGGTGGTGTGTATTTCATAAAGACTACAAAATAATCACTTTCAAACACAGAAAATACTGCGTTTCTGCACTAAGTTAGGATCTGAGAAAAACTATAAAATTCAGAAATACTTACTAATAACTAGTTTTAATGTGCCTCAACATAATTCTTGTTTGTGTTTAAACACAAAACTTTGATTTGGAGTACAATAGGAACATACAATGTTCTGGGGATGTTTGTTTGTTATGAATTTCGCGCAAAGCTACACGAGGGTTATCTGCGTTAGCCGTTCCTAATTTAGCAGTGTAAGACTAGAGGGAAGGCAGCTAGTCAACACCACCCACCACCAACTCTTGGGCTACTCTTTTTACCAACGAATATAGGGATTGACCGTCACATTATAACGCCCCCACGGCTGAAAGGGCGAGCATGTTTGGTGTGATGGGGATTCGAACCCGGGACCCGCAGAATGCGAGTCGAGCACCCTGCCCACCTGGTTCTGGGAATAAACTAGTATTAAATGTCGTTTTACCACACTCCAATTTTGCGGTGGATTCGGTAAAAATAAACAAGGGTTTTTTTTCGATTAAAACCTTAAAATAACGTGGTGTATTTGGTGAAAGTTCATCAAGAATGCTAAATAATTGCTCTCAAACGAAGAGAATGTTGGATTTCTGCACTAAGACAAAATCCGAGTTTATTGCCCCTGGTGTCAATTTTTATATACTAAAAATCCATTGTGAACTATTTAACTAGAAGTTTAATGAAGGCTTTCCCCAACACCTGTCTAATTATGTTTACAAGGCCTTGGTTCGATATTTTTGCAAAGTTACAACTGAACAGGATATAAGAATATTAAATATACGTATATTATCTTCATAACGATTTATTTATTTCCTAATATCTGGAGCAGAGGGTTGGGTAGGAAGAATTAAGAAAGAGGTACGTCAACTTAAGCCTAAAATTTGTAAAAAATAATTGTGTCATTAAGCCATGCATAGCTAGTAATGTGTGACATACGGACGCCTTTGCTGACAAAAAAAGCATCTTATATTCCAAAAAGTCAAGAAATAGCATAAAAGCCAGTTTTAGTAGGCCTAGTTATCAATGATACGTTTCGCGTAAATTTTGACTCCATATTTGGAACTATTTTAGATTACTTGGTAAAAATAATACCTAGTCCAATCCATGTAACGATTAATTTCTTTCTTCAATAACGTTCGCTACAGGCTACGTTGTACAGTGATAGGTCTAACTCCACAGCTATGTATGCCTAACTTAAGTATAAACTTACTTGTAAACTTTCTTCGCCAATCGAGCAATAACAAATAAGCTGACTGAATCACTGGCAAACTGATGCAATAACTCTCACCATCTAACTCACTAAGTGATACTGAACTGATTAACTCAATTCTTTAATAATTAACTAATTCATCACTCTGGCATTTTTATTTCGTTACTAGTTTTCCACTAACTACATCAAGCTTTTAAATGTTGTGTCATCATGGCTTACTGACAAGCTCCCTCTATTAAACAAATATCAAAATTAAAATATTAAAAATATAACTTGCAACAATAGTCAAAAATATAAATGCTGTCGTTGTTTGGATGCAATAAGTTATTATTATTATTATTGCAACGGGGATAAATGGATCATTCTATGTTGTGAATTAAACTTGTAAGATATGCTCGATCTAAAACCTGTTAACTTATAAATATTTCTAAAAATTAAAAAACAAAAGTTGTTGTCCAATCGCTGCACTACTTGAAATAAGATGAGGGAACCCCTACTCAACCTCCTTCACGAAAGCCTATATGTTTTAAAAGCCAAAGGGGGTTCGTTGGACAGTTCTACCACCTGTTACCCCCCAGAGACCTTCCGTGGGTTGAGTCGTATCTGAATAATATTTGTCTTTGTAGCTCACAACAATCTTGCTACGAATCCTGTTCTAATTCTTCACTGTTATTACTCAGTTTGGTTTAGTGGATTAACAGTAAGAAATACCACGACGTTGAAAACGGAAACTTCCTAAGCCTAATTAATTTAATGGTAAAAGTCGTTAAAACTCCTTCAGACTATTTCTCTGCCTTTTTCACAATTTAACTTAAGTGAGAAAAAAAATGGATCCTTTTTAATGCCAGTGTTTTTGCTGATACCATACGAGTATATCGTTGAATTACGTACAGTGCAAGTATGCCAATCTATGTCAACGACATCAATGTATTAATCTAAGTGCATCTAATAAAACATTCTAGGTATATCAGTACAATCACAAACCCACGTAGCTGCTGTAACTTGTAAGACCATTGTTTAAAGTATGTTCAACTTATTGATCCAAGAACATTGTTTATAGTATGTTCAACTTACTGATCCAAGAACATTGTTTAAAGTATGTTCAGCTAACGGATCCAAGACCATTGTTTAAAGTATGTTCAGCTAACCGATCCAAGAACACTGTTTATAGTATGTTCAACTTACTGATCCAAAAACATTGTTTAAAGTATGTTCAACTTACTGATCCAAGAACATTGTTTAAAGTATGTTCAACTAACCGATCCAAGACCATTGTTTAAAGTATGTTCAACTTACTGATCCAAGAACGTTGTTTATAGTATGTTCAACTTACTGATCCAACAACATTGTTTAAAGTATGTTCAACTTACTGATCCAAGAACTTTGTTTAAAGTATGTTCAACTAACCGATCCAAAAACATTGTCTAAAGTATGTTTAACTAACATTGTTTAAAGTATGTTCAACTAACCGATCCAAGAACTTTGTTTAAAGTATGTTCAACTAACAGATCCAAAAACATTGTCTAAAGTATGTCCAACTAACCGATCCAAGAACATTGTTTAAAGTATGTTCAACTAACCGATCCAAGTACAGTGTCTAAACTCTAAATTATGTTCAGCTAAATGATTTTATACTCAGTAATTTACAAAACATTCTAGAAGGCACTGGTTTTAAAAGTGTGGTATGACACGGTTAAGAATATAACCAGAATTTGTCCATTTGATTATCGCTAAGCACAAAGCTAAGCAATATGATATTTATGCTCTGCTCACCACAAGGATCGATCCTTCAATTTTAGCGTTACAAGCCCTAACGTTTCCAACTGAGCCACAGGGGAGGTGTGTGTATAACCAGGAATTACAGTTAGCCCTTCCGTTTCCAGTAATAAAAATCCTTTTGTCTCTAAGAGCTTAGAAACCGAAAGAAAAAAAATAAAGATCTCCCTGAAGAAGCTCAACTAAAGCACACGTCTGATCAATACAACAACCGGTCCGACGACCTATATATATATACAATACTCCAAAATCTTAATCGGGACTAGGAAACGATGTTAACAGCTGCATTCTGGGCCAACTCAAGGCTCGAGGAAATGAACAGTTTCCAGGTTAGGAGATGCCAGGTATAAGGTCAGGTCATTTAGCTGGTTTGGCACATATTCTGATACCTGTAACCGAGGTCTTTCACTCTCCGTCATAACAGAGGTGTAATTAATTATTTAGCTTGTGTGTTTAAATTTAGATGGAAGACTGATGAAAAAAAAACGATTTCAATTCGATATTTACTCGCATATAGATTTATCATTTTTTTAAACCTTAAACGTGTTTTAACTGAACAATATAATTCTAATCACGTCATGAGAATCGCGCGCACACACACACACACATTTATGTACATATATGTATGTGTGTGTGTGAACATTATTGTTAATAAGGTAGAGGAAAATTTAGGGCTTATAACGCCAAAATTCGAAGTTTAATCCCTGTGGTGGGCACAACAACACAGACAGTTCAGTGAGTAGATTTATGTTGATTCTTAGCATCAACAGCGGAAGTAAAATAATTCATATTCCAGTTTGGTCAACGGGATTTTGAACTTCAGGGTTAGCATAGAAGAGACGTTACTCCCGTCGTGCTTATTTCGATTTAAATCTGTCATCTTTGTCAAGTTACTTATATATTTTACGAAGACTAATGTGTTAAAGCGTTTCATTCAAAACAGTGTTGTTGTATACTAATAATACAAATAGTATCTAGTTTAAATAAACGACTAGCGCTGAACTGTTTCCTAAACACTCATAACTAACTATTCGATTTTTATATGTAATGGAGCAGTAAGGCAGCGACACCTACATCAATAACATTACTGTAAAAAATACTGGTAAAACGACATTTAATAAAGCGAAAACATATATCGATAATATTTATACATATATAATATATTCTAGTAGTTTTTCATGAACGAAGCAATTACTTAGGAAACACTTTATTATTATTATCATTTTCTTAATATCTTTATAGTCAAATATATTAATTACGGTTAGGTCCTAATTGGACATTGTAAAATACTGTATTCATTACTTAAATTTGTTTTAAATTAAAATTTACGTACCAACAAAATTTCACTTTATAATTTTTACATAATTCAACCGGAAAGAAAAGAAAGTATTCCACTTACCAGCACCAACAAGAAAGAAAAAAATCAGCCAAACTTTCATGATTTTATCTGCAAGCTAACTGACGGGTCTTATAGCACAAAATGTGAACTACGTTAAGGTACTTTGAACAATGCTCTACTGGTTAAATACTGATTGCGCGTCTTACGGCCCTTTACATATCGTCTGCCCCTGACCTAGTCTCGTACCAGAAAGCTACGAACACTAGCGTTCCTAGCGGTGAACCAGTTTTATGGTAAAGAAGAGTTAGCTGAAGTATATGGGCGGTGGCAAAGTATTGTAGAAATACAGTATAACCTCCCATCAACTTTTCTGAGATATTTAAACAGATAAATAGTCTGTGCCGATAGAAACAAAAACGAGTTTTAGAATACAGTCATCAATAAGTATCTTGAAAAGGCCTAATAATAATCAATTATGAATAGGAACCATTTCAGGAAATAAACAACATGGACTTCCGAAGTGTTTTCGTGGCTAAAACAAACAAACAAAAGGTTACTTAGATACTACGCCCTCTATAACCTTCCTTCAGCAACACTAAAATGAAATCCAGGCAAAGTAGGTGTTTTCATAACATGATGGGCGGTGAAAGATTACTTTTATATGACATCAGAATTAAAATACTTTGTTTTCACTCGTGACTTTCGTCAACATTACACTTTGAAAGTGACTTTCGGCACTCTTACACTTTGAAACATGCTGTGACCATAAAATCGTTTTTACTCTTCATGATGCCCGGCATGGTCAAATGGTCAGGGCGTTTAACTCGCAATCTGAGAGTCGCGGGTTCGAGTATCCGTCCCACCAAACATATTGGCCCTTTCAGCCGTGGGGGTGTTATAATGTGATGGTCAATCCCACTATTCGTTGGTAAAAGAGTAGCCCAAGAGTTGGCGGTGGATGGTGATGACTAGCTACCTTCCCTCTAGTCTTTCACTGCTAAATAGGGAAGGCTAGCGCAGATGGCTCTCATGTAGCTTTGCACGAAATTTAAAACAAAACAAACAAACCACTCTCCATGAAAAAAAAGAGGTGAATGGACGAACGCCTGAACAGAGAGCAGATAAATAGATCTATAGACGGACAGAAAGACAAGAAGACCGTTGAAAATGCGTGTTTTGCAAAGATATAATAGGACTCTTAGGAAATTATGTATCAGTTTGGTATTTTCAACCTGAACAAGACCTTAAGCTGAAGTGGGTTAAACGTATACGTTAGAAACCGCTAGCAATATTACTTCATAATAATAAGTTAGCGAACAACGATTTATAAACATAATAAAGTGATTTATTTTTTGGAGAACATACTACAGGTTTCGACAGAACTTTGGTCTGTTTTCTTGTCCCCTCAAAACAAAGCAATTTATTATTCTTGTAAAACGTTGTTTGCTAACTTATTCTTGTGGAGTAATATTGCGTTTTTAAAAATATCAAAGAAAGTGAAATTTGTTAAGAGCAGTACCCTACTTGAGTAAACAAATAACAAAAGTCCTTGCACGAGATGAATGAAGTGCATTTTGTGTCTTAAAGATCGGAAATATGTGGCAAGTTCAACGTTTTCAGTACATCAGTATTGAGATAGTTGGAGGTGTTCGAAAATGGCAAATTAGATCCTGATGAAACAAAGATCTAGGTCAATAGCGCACTTGAGGCTTTCATGCCATCCAGCCTAGAAAGTACGAGAAACCTTTATAAAATCATACCAGTAAATGGTTTTAACACTCTATTCAAATAGTCATATTTTAATTTAGTCAATAACGAATTGTTTCAGAATTTGCTATTTGTTAAATGCTTAAATTGATTAAATAAATGACTGAAATGAAAATAGGCTTAGCTTTTCTCTCCTATCACTTCAACAGCTTCCAAGGTTAAAGAACCTAATACTTTCTTGCGAAAATCAATATGTGATGACCTTTAAGAGAAGGTTTATACAATATGTATATTTAAATAACGTAAACCTAAAGCATGTGGATCAAAGAAGGTTAATTTCTATAGTTACCACAGAATTGACTTTTTCTGAAAGAAAAAAAAAACAACTACTTAATGAAATGGGTTAAATTAAATCACAATTAAATTTCAGATGGAAATCTTTAATGGGTTTTGCTTTTCATTCGCCAGATGAGTTTACTCTCCCTTTTTCTTTCTCTCTCTCGAAAAACAAAAGGAAATGCCTGGTGTAACCTAGTGGTTAGGGTACTTACCTCGAAGTCAGCTGGGTGGCGGAATCGAGCCCTGTCACTGAACATGTTCACTCTTCCATCCGTGGGGGATGTTTATATGACGGTCAATCCCATTATTCGTTGGTGAAGAGTAGCCCAAGAGTTGGCGATGGTTGGTGTTGACTAGCTGTCTTACCTTTAGTCGATCACTTCTAAATTAGGAACGATTGGTGCAGCTAGCCCTCGAATAACTTCACGCGAAATTCAACAAACACACAAAAAAGGAGCCTCAATCAAAATGAAAGTTCAAACGAAGCCTTTTATAGTATTTACTCCCCTTTGTCCAGATGAGTTATATCTCTCGAAAAGAAATCTCCATTAATACAAACATATATAAAAATTTACTTGCCTTTAACCAGACGAATTTACTCTCTAATAAAGGAATACCTGGTACGAAAATCGTCCAAAATAAGTACTCTGCAGTCCGATTCGACTTTCGTGAAATTTACTTGTTTTAGTCAGAAGATATAATCAGTGAAGAAGGTGCAGGCTTTTAATATATCGTTTCAAATACAATACTGTTTTCTAAGCGAATCCAGGACTTTAGATTGACAAGTTATACTTATCTGCATTTGAGTTTCAAAACAGTTTTAGTTCTTGAAAATTCACGTAAAAAACGTTTATGTTTCAGTACTTAAAAGACAACAACAGACGAAAATATAAAATGATAAAAAAAACATCCAGACAAAATTAAAATATTGCATTAATCAAAACCCACATGTACGTCAAAATCATCGTAAGCGTATATAGATATTCTAAGCCTACAGGAAGTAACTTGTGTAAAGTTATACTTTATCAACCAAAGTGTTAGTTAGCGTATCTGATATGTTAAGCCTACATGAAGTAAGTTAGTGTGAAAGTATACTTTATCTTACAAATTATCGTAAGTGTATGTAGATATGTTAAGTCTACTGGAAGTAAATTTAAAGTGAAATTATACTTTTATCTATCAAAGTTATTGTAAGCATATATAATAGGTATGCTAAGCCTACAGGAAGTAACTTAGTGTAAAATTATACCGAAACAAATATTTTTTTTTTATGAAAGTAATTATGATTAACCCAAATTATGTGTGAAAAACATATTAACTGAATATGGATAATATTTATAATCTATTTAAGCCTAAAAGCCCGTCCACTACTGAAGGTCTGTAAACGGCCCACTTTCTTTTTTGTGTGAGTAAAATCAGTCCAAAATTCACGTTTTTCAGAAAGCTTGTTCGTCGTTTCAAAACCTTCTATATTTTATTTAGGTGAACGACCTTTAGAAAGGAAATGTTGAGGGCAGTCGATAACATAGGTTACGATCTTTATAAATCTGGAAATGGGACACTGTAACATAATACAAACTAAAAACTTGGTTAACGTGTGTAAAACTCGTTAAACCTAAAAGCAGATGGACACAGAAGTAAGTAGTCTATAAATATAAAGACAAGGTTTATTAATAATCTTTTAATATGTCAAACTACCGGTTCTTCTTTTTTTCTTTTTTTTATGTGGTTGTGCATGGAACTTTTCACTAATGACTAATAGAAAATATCAAGCATGATACTAAGATGCAAACTGTAATAATTATATGCAGTAAAATACGAATATTATTAACAAGTTTTATTTCTTGGTAACCTTCCAGTGGCTCAGCGATAAGACTGAAGACTTATAACGCTAAAATTTGGGTTTATACTCGTGGTGGGCATAGCCCATTGTGTAGCTTTGTGCTTAACAACAGACAAACAAAAACTTTCTCTGCAGCTACAAATAAGGTCAATAAGATAAGGGATTGAGATTTGCTGTTTATTAATATGGTGTTTTTGTGTGTGATTTTTTTTCAATATTTAGCGCAAAGCTATGTAAGGGCTATCTGTGCATAGCCATCCTTAATTCTGAGTTAATAGGTTATGGAGGGTAGAAGCTAGTCAACAACACCTAACACCAACTCTTCTTTGATATAATAGTGAGCTTTGGAGGGAAGAAGGTAGTTAACAACACCTAACACCAACTCTTCTTTGATATAATAGTGAGATATGGAGGGAAGAAGCTAGTAAACAACACCCCTAACACCAACTCTTCTTTGACATAATAGTGAGATCTGGGGGAAGAAGCTAGTCAACAACACCTAACACCAACTCTTCTTTGATATAATAGTGAGATTTGAACGGCGCTCACATCCATGGCCTCAAAATACCAAACTTTTTTTAGTGGCATCGGGTCGCGAACCATAAATCCTCTGATTCACAGCCCGGTCACGTTAACCATTAGGCCCAAAGTAAAACGTGTATAGTGGTTTTATTTTCACTTTGGTAATGTATCAAGAAATCTGAAAGAGATTGTTGAGCTAATCTTTAAATAAAACTACTTTCATTATTCGTAAATTTGGTATTAAACCTTGTACTGGTTACACTTATGTGCATGTTGATTGGCTTGTACATAATTCAAAAAACAGACCAACGAGTAAATATTTAGAGTGATTCCATACATGATATTTTGGGAGAATGTCATTTGCACTCAATCAAAGAACCTCAAAATTATGTTTCAAATGGGTGTTATTTATTTTGCGTTTGTTGAAGCTTTGTCTAAAAGGGGTTTCACATTTTTGTGTCCTTCCCATAGAAATAACTTTCAGAAATACTTTCAAAATTCTTCTTATAGTACTATCATATTCGTGGGCTAATTTTCATTCTACCAAAGTTATACAACAAACAACAACAAAAAAATCAATCAATATCTTTTCTTTCAATCAGTCAACTTTGTTTCCTCATTTCAAGTCTCAAAGCTGTTTATTTGTGTCATTAAGATAATCCATGCTTCACCTATTGTTCAAGAAATATCAACCTCTTCTGCTAAATATCTTCTACAAATTCCTTGACTGTAAATCCCTTTTTCTGGAATACTTTAGATTCTTTCCTAAATGCCCCTCGTTGG